TATTAAATTACCCGGGTTATCCGGGTAATTTATTATGATCATATATCAACAATTTCTACCCGGGTCCAACCCCTACTCTTAAAAATACCCAAGCGCAATAAGAAGGGTATGTCTTTGGCCAAGAAAGTCCAAAAAATTTTCTATGACACCTACCTACCTGGAAATATTGATTCAATAAGTCTTACTTTAACGAAAATAATAAGACAATAACCAATAAATCAGATAAATTCGGATTAAAATACCATTTTTATTTAAGCGGTTCATTTTTTACCTATATTGTTTTTAAATGGCAAAGAAGCTTGACTGGCCCAATGGAACCATTGGTTTTTTTTCTCGATGAATAAAAAAAATCGCCAACCCTACCCATAATAAATTTTAACATTAAGTAGTTCAAAGAATGCATTATTATTATGTGCTCAACACGTGCTAAGTGCGAAAGCAAACATCTTGCGGTAATGTTGGCGACGCACCATGATCTTGTACTTCAATTAACTTGTATACAAGTCAGGTCGTGCCGATATCATCCCTAATTGTTATTAATAACGATCAGTACTATTTAAATTTAACAGTGACAATGATTATATATATGGAAATCCTTGTATGATTTATAATAAATGTGCAAAAACAATCTTCGTAAAATCATTATCGGAATGCCTGCTAATCAACTAATAATTATTAATAATAAATGCAAATTAGACTGAGTTTACCAAATTCTAATTAAAATTCCTTATTCATAAATTTCTTATTTACATAATACATATATATGTTAAAATTCCATTGGGATCGTATGTGAGTCTTCATGTGATGTTGCCGATCCATGTTCGATACCTAAATCCCAAACAGTGGGACATATCTCCTGCTTAATGCTCCATAACCCGTTTAAGCATTGATTAGATTTCTTTACGAGAAGATTGTAACAATAATAGATTTTCGTACGTTCGTTCCGCTAAAATATTAATTCATATATAAAAAATAGTTCGCATTATTAAAAAAAAATAAAAATAAAAAAAAATAGTAATTATCTTTACCTTTATGCCAAATTGCGAATAATGGCTTGCAGCAATTTCACTCCATTCTCTTACTTGCTTCAGCTTTTCCACGGTACCGAGGTTTTCTAATGTTTCACTAACATCTTCATTATAAAATTCTATCAGAAGTTTGATCACCAATTCATGTATTGTTAATTTCCATGGTGTAGTAATTAACATTTTAATGACTCCTCGCCATTTCTCTGAAAAAAGTATGCGAATACGATGATGCTTGATAAGCAAGGTGATAAGTGATTGGAACATGGATTCATAAACTTCAACATGCAAAGTATCTGAATCATTAGTTGGCATAGTCATTTTGAAGTAATTTAGTGCGCGTCGTAAAGCTATGATGTCGCCCTTTTCACAACGATCAAGCATATAATGACAAAAAACCTATAAAAAAACATTGTATTAGGAATAGTATTATTGAATTACAAAAATGATTGTAAAAGAATAGAATTACCTTTTTCGCCAAATCATTTCTTTTCAAGATACGAAGCTCACTTTCTCCAAAATTGTGTGGAGAGTTGATAGTAGTATTCACATCTTGTTCGTCATCTGCAGTAAAATTTGCTGCCATAGTTTGACGCGTTTTTAGTTCTCTTGCTTTATCATCATACATCCAATGTAATAGTTTTTTATAATATATAGTGTAAATTTCTTCATCCACCTGTGGCATATTAAAATTCTTGCTTATCAACATTTTATGCGCATAACTGCCAAAAGTGACCATTAAAGATAACCATTTAACAGTTGACTCTTTTTCTTTCTAAGTTATTCATGTAACAAGAACTTTAAATTAATAAAAAATTTAAAATTACAATTAAACATCATAATGAAACGGACCACTAATGTAGCCGCAGCTGAATTGATGGTGTTATTCTTTTCCTCAACTGTTTTATTGGCGTGCTTTTTAAAGTGTTCGGAAATATACTTTTTTAAAGCCTCGACAATACGAGCGGAGAAAGCATTATATACGATAGGATCTTGGAATATCATTGCGACATCTCTATAAAAGAATAATTTAAAATTGGTTATTTAAATGCGTTTTAAGGTGGAAAATATGTCGGCGTTCATTGTAACTTTAACCCATGATGTCATACGAAAATTCTCTAGAGGTAGTTTTCTTATATCTTGCCAAATAATTATTTATACTGGTGACAGCCTTTTCATCCAAACCTTTCCTTAATCCTCCATTAATATACCAAATTATATTGTAAGAATGGTCCTGCTTACACATCTGCAATTTTAAAGAAATAATCAGTTTCTAAATATAATTCATTCAGTTCTTAAAATTACCTAAATTAAATTCGACTTACAGCAATCCTTCCAGCTTTTTGCATACCCATAAAAAAATCAAACCGGAATGAACAAAGTTTTGAGAGTCCATACTCTTTATACCATTCTCTAACAATGTTCTGCAATTCAGCAAAAAGGACAGAATTTTCGTGAACCAAATTAATAATATATTGTAGTCCAGGTGCATTTATTCTAAAGTAAAAACTTTATAATTAGTTTCATGTCTAGTTTTATGCATAAAAAAAAAAGCAAGCATACTTACCGTCGATCTAAAACACAGTTAATACTAATTCCTCTCATTTCTCGTGCCTGCATACCTAAAGTCTGGTCTTTAAAATAACTGACTATTTGTGCTTGAATAGATACCTTGAACATTTTTTTGTTACGCTCATATAAACCTCTTTTGATCTCGATCGGAGCTTCCTATTTTCATTTAAATAACAAATCTTTAGTATTTAGTTAATTACTAATTTGACCATCCAGTTGATAGTTACATGTATAATGTTCGGTTCTTGCGCCAACATTTCATAAATGTCTTTTGTCACACGGTCGGGATACTTCTTAAGAAGTGCAAGAACAACGGGACGAAACTCTTTAATAAATAAATACCCCATGGACTTTGACAAGAACTTTGTAAATCTATGTAGAAGAAAAGAAATAGAATAGTTCAACGCTATATGTCCACACTATCATAAACCTTTATTTTCATGAACTCACTTTTCGTGATCCCAATTTTCTGTTTCGATAATTTGTATAAACTTGTTCCTCAGTGCTTCCAAAATACCCACATGAATATTGAATCTTGACGTGCCACTTAATTCAAGCAATGGATATACGTTCTGAAATTCAAATATTCCATTAAAATACAAGTTGACAAATATAAACAATTTGAGACGCGCCATATCGTTATACCTCAATGTTTTCAACCTTTACTTGATAACGTTGTTGGATTTCTGTGATTCCCGTTACTGGATCACTTTGCCCTAGTAAGAGCCCCAAACGACGCGCTCCAGCATTGCCAAGCATGTAGCGATCAGGATCAAAAGACGTCATTGTAATTTAAAACTAGGAAAGCAAAAACTGTTAAACGTTTAGTGCTAAAAAATTGGGTTATTTATTAATATGGTTAGCTAAAAATAGAAACAGACGAATTAGACAAATTGCTGATCATCTAATCTAAAAATAGATGCGAACATAATTACGGTCTATGTGAAGACAACCCGCAGAATAAGTTATAAATTGTGTGATAAATTTTGACAATTAATACACACCAAATAACATTTATTTTTTAGATACGTATACCGTAAATTTAGCTAAATATGTTAAAAAATGATCATTATTTATTAGGCTATACAAACTTAATAAATCGATTTTTACGGGTTAAAATTTACAAACTTCTAAAAAAAAAACTTTTTTATATTTACTATTCGGGTGAGTTTTTTTTTACAGTATATATATGCCGCACAAACTAAAAATTTTTAAAATCCCACTCAAATCCAAATCTCATGTGGAAAAATCCCAAATCACAAACTGGACAAATCCTATCTGGACTGTCATAATTTCAAACTCTCGCCAAATCCCAAACCTATCCCAAATCCCAAATTATAGCCAAATTCCAAATTTCAAATCTCTAGTTCCAAATCCCAAAGAAAAACTTTTTTCTAGAGCTATTACCCGGGTTGGGTGACCCATATGGGTCATCTAACCCAACAGGTTATGGGTCGAAAATTGCTTTAACCTGGGTCAAATGGGTCAAAATTTTTATTTTTTTTTTGCCAAGTATTCGGAGACTAGAGTTTATTGATGTTTTAGGTGTTAGGGTCAATTGAACTATACAAATTGTATTTATAGTAACGAATTTAATCTAATTGGTCCATACTCAACATATTATATAATCCTAGTACCTTTATATCCAGCACTGCTACTACATTTTATTTATTATTAGTAAGCTTTTAGCCCAGGTAGTGCTCATTTCACTGACAATTAGTTCACCAACACCTCAGTTCACTGACAATCAATTCACTAACAAGCTTATTTTACCAACGATTGATTCACTAACAATACATTTCACCAACAATATGTTTTGCTAATGGATAGCTTTTATCAACAATATGTTTTATCAACAATATGTTACATTGACAATATGTTTCACCAACAAGTTTATAGCTGTTTTTATAAATTCTGGGATATTTAAAAAAATTTGCCAATGAAGAAGTAGTTCTTATACGCTACTTGCTAACAAGTTTAGAGTTTATTACTGAAAAGAATAAGTATCCATTCTCCTAGCCTTCAAGTAAAAGAGGTAGATTGCTATCATATTTAATAAGAAATATACAATCTTTTATCAAACAAAACAAGTGGTGTTACCTTTTTTCTTTGCCTCCTTGCTGCTCTTCCAAAATTTTCTACAAAAGTAGGCAAAACAGCTTATCTTCTCCAAAAGATTGGCATTGTTTATATCTTCCAAATCTGAATAGCTTTGCCAGACTGTGATCATATAGGCCATGCTATTTTATATAATACCATGTTTGGCTACTTATATTGTTTAGAAGTCCGAATAATCTAGTCAGAAAATATAAATAATAAGATGAGGCTTTACAGTAGAAATATACAAATATTGTATTTGTTATATAATTTTTTTCAGCCTAGTACAGATAATAGTAGTGCTAAAAGATGAAATTTTTTTGTTTTCTTTTTGTTATTTTCCTTTTTGTATTTGTTTTTTCTTTTTTTTTTCTTCTTTTTTTGTGTTGTATTTGTTTTTTTTTTGTGTTTTTTTTATTATTTCTTCTCTTTGAAAAAAGAACAATATTAAGAAAAAAGCAATCTTAACAAAGCTAGCAATAAGCTTTTTGTAATTCTTAGTAATTGTTATAGTTATATTGAGAAATCATCTAGTAAATTAGATGCCAAAAATAAGTAAATTATTACTGTGGCAGATCACCATTATGAGTAGCCGAGTGAGTTTTTATTGTAAAAGTAGAAGAGTTAAAGGTATTTAGTTAATTGCAAACTTTTTGTTCAGACACTTTGTATATTATTTTATATCTTACTTCTAAAAACAATAAAGGCAAAATTGCCAAATTTATAAAAAAAAAGATAATGCAAATAAGAAGTGTATATTGTATACTGTAAATTAAAAGTATATAATTAATATACAAAATCTATGTATATAACAATATATAGTTGACTTCCTCTAAGTGCATGTTCTTTAAGTATAAATTCTCTTTATATATATGAAAATAGCCTGGTTCCAAGTCAGGACTTATAAAATAAGTGCATGTTCTATATTCTCTAAATGCAGGTTATTTTTCAAATTATATATAT